AGTTCAGACGTGTGCTCTTCCGATGTCCCCAAAACCCCAAAACCCCTGAAAATAAATTGCAATTAAAGCTAGTGAGCTGTTACCGAAATATAAATTAACATAATAATAAGAAAAAACAACACTTAGAAGGAGTGATGTGATTAATTCCTCTTCATCAGAGTGATAACTTGACTAAATTTACATTATACCAGGCCTTGTTTTAGTTATGGAGATTATCCTCGTTAAGAGTGACTTGGGGCATCCACTTCAACTAGGTTAAGTTAAATATCTCCACATTCATTAGCAGCCTCTCAGCAAAGTCTATTCCTCCAATTACATATAAGTTCATGTCGTCACCTCTTTCTATGCTAATACTTGTATGGTACATTCTAGGGATGCTTAGAGCAGGTAATTAATGCCATTCATCTTAATTATGGTCATAGGCTTCACAATATTCCATGGCAGTGAAACCGTTAGAGCCTCCATTGACTATGATACCATTATAACCACAACTAATAGCAGAAAAGTTGATTCTTGGGTAGGTCATGTCTTTGCATCTAGACCATTCCTACTTGTACAAGTCAAACTTCATGACGCTCTTAAGCACTTGCCCATCTTACTAGCCTCCAAGTATGTATATAGAGTTGCAGTGAATTATAAATTAGAAGTCCGCAAGTGGACTAATGTCTTGTAACTAGTATGGAATTGGAGGTATTTAGTCCCAGACGTTTGAAGAGAAATCATAGCTGAGAATTTCTAGTTAACTAACATTAATGTACTCTTAAGAGTCACCATTGTCTGAAGACTACTTAGAGTAAGCCATGCAAAGTAAAGGTATATAATTAGTGTCTGTCTGGTATACTGCACTTTAAACACCAAAGTACTATGCCTCAGTGAATGAAAGCGGAATATCAGCAATATCAGATTCCTCAACAATTTGCAATCTACTATCAAACTGTAGTACTTACTGTGTAAATTATCCATTTACTTTACCCCCAACAAGCAAGTAGTTTCTAACTTATCTAGGATCTGGCACTACTTTGAATTTTTCTCCAAGTTAGTATTTGAAATTAGCAACTTCCATGCCAATAGTCTGAATATTGTTCTGAGAATCAAACATTTCAACTTAGAAGAATTTGTCATCTTGGTTTTAGTGATTTGAAATGATTCCGACTACATGAGTGCTGTTCTCCTCAACCTTTTCCTGTTATTTCTTTTTCTAGGCTAATTGTTTTCTGGCTAACATAAGACTGCTGGCAGTAGGCTTGTAACTTTAAGATACAAAATGATTGCTCTAATAGAACTGCTCAATACTCTAATCATTATTGGGCGATGTCATGTCACTTTCAATATTGTGATTCATATCATCATACTCATCTTCTTTTAGTGTACTTTCGAGTATTTTATCCTGAGACGAATGTTCAGTAACAATAAATTAGTTGTTGAGAGTTTTATTATTCTGTAGAATGCTATCATCGATTTTGCTATTGATAGAAATTATCATAGAGTTTTCAGCCAAGTTACTCTGTCTTGAATGATCTCTTCTTGAGCTACCTTGCCTTGCTTGAGTAATGCTCTATACAATTTAAGCTTATCTACTCAACCACTCCTCAGACTCAATTTAGTGAATGGCAGACTGTCTCTTACTCTCTTTGATGTTATTTCTTTGTTCCCTAAGACTTGGATACTTAGCCTGAGATTTCGCTCTGCTGTTTTATGAGGGATTTTCGCTATCCAAGTTCTGTTGATTTCTATTGTTTCCACTCACACCAATTTACTCAATGGCTGTTTGATCCAGCCACCTTTGGTTCTTTGTCTGAGAGAAGTTTCTTAGTCCTGCAGACTAAGGATGAGGCATCTTGAAATCTTAGTCTTATTCAGCTTGCATTGTTCCCATTCCAACTATGAATTGATTATTGCTTGATGACGAATGAAGGGATTTCTAGGTTTCATCCCTGATTAATATATTGATGTGGGGCTGTACTTAAGCTATGGATTGAATGTTTTATCCATCAGGTGCTAATCTGAGTATAGAAGTGAAAGATGAGTTTTCTTCATGCTCACTCTCTTCAACGCTTCTGTTCTATAATTCAATTATGTGCATCTTGCTGGTAATGCTGCTGTTCAAAGCATTAGTACTACTAAGAGGTAAGTTTGCTGATGCCTTTCTGTAGTTTAAATCAGATTGAGCTGCTGATGTATTTGAGGCATAGTTGTCCTCATAAATATTAGAAGTTGAAGATTTCTAGCCTAGTCTGTTCAAGTAGCTTCTGGAATTATTTACATTCAAGACTGCCTAAGAATTAGAGGCCAAAATGGTGTTTGATTGAGCTAGGAGAGTCTGTCTGAGACATTGCTCAAAGTTTACATCCTTTACACTACTAACTGTTTAAAGGGTTCTGTTGGTAGCATTACTTGCTTTGGAAGTTGCAGGTTGAGATATGTTCTTATCAAAAGCTGCGCGAGAAGCATTTCTCCTGAAATTAGTTCCAGTTTTGATGCCTTAGGCCGCCACTTCTTCAATCTTCTTAAGTGGAGTCTTGTGCATATTTCTTTACTGCCTTAATTGAATATCAGTTTTATCTAGTTTTTAAGTTTAATTTGCTGCTGCAGCTGTTCTTGCTGTCATGCTTTACCTTCTTTCTCTGACTGCCGTATTTATTGGTTTCTATTTCTCATCTTTAATCTAACTTGTTCTAATTTTATTGTTATTTAAATTTGATAACTAGCTTTGCGATTAATTCAAGGCCAATGTCTGTTTCTCCTGAGCTACAACTATTCTTCTTGAACTAAATACTTCTTTCATGGGGCTTGCATTTTTCTTAGAACTTCTCTATATAGCTAATTCCCTAGCAGTCAATTCCTTATATGCTTTTGAAGTAGACTTTCTAAGAGCCAGAGTCGATGATTCTTATTTCTGTAATAAAGGAAGTTAAATTGGCAGTGGTCCAATATGCTTTATGTGCAACTCATCTACCATTTTCTGAACTATTTATATTTCTCTTTTATAGTCAAATTTGGATTACACTGACCCTTCATTCTATTGCAATTCAATGACTTTCATAAATCCAGAGACTTTATCAATCATTTCAGTTGCCTATTGCTCTCTAGTCATCTGAGCCATCAGCTATTCAATATGACTATTGATGGGTCCCAGCTACACACTAAGTATCTAGAAGTCAACTGCATTCATCTCATTTAAGAAATCTTTTAATTTCTGTTCTTGCTCTATAATCTCCCTCCTTTTCGACTCTATCTTGCTCTGAATCTCTAAGTATGCTTCTCTTGAGCGCATCTCTATAGACTCCTTCAGTTCATTGAAGAATGTGGTGAATTTACTCACTTAGATGGACTCTTCATCGTCCAAATCATTCTTTTACTAGCCCAGACTATCTTATTGATTCTAGATCTGCTATTTAATGACCTAAACTTTATCTTAAGTCTGCCTAAGACTCTCTTCTTATCTAGAAGCAGATTTTTCAATGTTAGAGACATCGTGCTACTTATGCATTGGCTATTAAAGAAGACAGTCAATGCATAAGGGCTACTTCTCACTCCAACAAAATGCTTCAATTGGCTTTGTATGCTCCTAACACTATTGATATCCATTTTTGTTTTAAAGTGAGATACTTTGCAAAGTACTGTTTAAATCTAATTTGAATCCTTGCACTCTATTTGACTACCCGCTAGATTACTATGACTCTGTAATTTCAAAAGGCTCAATAAGGCCTAGAGAAGTTTACCTCAAGGGACTGCTACAGTATTGGTTCTCGACCAGAATTTGGAGGAGTGCCAGATTTTTCGTATAGTTTGAAATGGAATCAGAAATATTGATTGATTTGCACAAAGGGCAAATTACTTGCTTGCCGTCGTAGAGTTTAACGATGCAAGAGTGACAAAAAGAGTGCCCACATTTAGAAAGTATTCTAGGAATTACGTTTATATCCCCGCTTGAGAACGAATCGTATGATTTTTAGCAACTCGGGCACTCCATTGACAAATACAAAAAAGTTTTTCCTTTCAGAGTTTAATAATTTCGATTAAAAATTATAAATTAAAGACTGCTACTGACTGTTATTTTAAATCAGAAGCTTTGTCGTTATTTTAAATTGAGAGTGCTCTTGCCCTCATTATAAACATTTAATTTTATAACCTTAAAATGAAAAACTCATACTTAACTTCATCGCATTCCTTCAACTCTTCCTCCTCACAGCCTACTGGGATGTCCTCATCTGCTAAAAAGCAGAGCTAGTTGCAGCTGAATTTGTAAAAATCCTCTACATTGTCATAATAATAAATGAGCCATCAAGCTATGGATAGTTCTAATAATAATGGACTTGATTCGAGTATGCTCTCAACTGTGTCATCTTTAAATCAATCTAAATTTTAGTTCGATATCTACATAAATAAAGTGGAACTTGTAGTCCCCTCTCCAGTATATATTTTCGTTCAAGTATTGAAAGGAACACATTCACTTAACACAAAGAAAAAGTTAAAAATTGATTAAGCCAATAAAGTCGCATCCTTTAATGAAAAGTTATCTATAGTTACTTGCCTTAATAAAAATACTGGTTAAACATAATCCCAAGATCGTTCAAGTGAATACCAAGCTAAATTTATTCAAATCAGATTGATTGCTTTTTACAACTCAAAAGAAAAAGCTATTGGTATATGTAGCGTAGATTTAAGTCATTTTATCCATGGATAGAAAGACTAAAATGGTAAGATAGCAGCCAAGGTTAATTTTTAAAAGTGTTTTGACAAAAATGCTGCTCTGAGCTTTGAAATCAGAGCTAAAGAGCAGTTTAACTAGATTAGAGAGTCGATTCTTGAAGAGCAAGAATCGAGTAGCATTCTTGAATAAGACACGACTGTATTTGAGACAACTAATGATCTTTTGAGGGAAAATTCAGTTTAGGATTCATCAAGATTCAGCGTTCTTGAGAATCCTAGTTTTTTAACTTCTAATGAAGAATATTAAACTGAAAATTTTGGAAGTAGTCAGAAATCAGCTTAAAAGGAGATTCAGAGTAAAAAACTCACACAAGAATTGTCACCTACAAATAAGTCAAAGGAGCACTTTGATCCTATCATGCGTTCACATAGAAACGCTATAGTATAGAAGAACGGCAAGTACTCACCATCAAAGACTCTTAATTCTGCCCGAACAATAATTCAACCCTCAATGAGCACTTAAGATCTAGTAAAACAGTCGTCTCAAACTTCCACAACTTATGAAACTTCATCTAATCTAGTGTAGTCACGATCTTAAACACCAAACCTAAAGGCAAATCAAGAATCCACTAACAGTAATGAAACTACACCTTCTTAAAGTGACAGCATAAACTAGGTTAGAAAATAAGAAGACAAAATAAGGAAGCTTGAATATGAGGTAAAATCTCTGAAGCAAGAAAACCAGGATCAGAAGTAGAAGATAGTAACTCTTTAAATAGTAAGTTTATTAGCTGAAGCATTAATAAATAGCTATAGAAAGAAGAGCGCATGCGAGAATATGAAGTTAAATGCAATGAGGCTGATTCATACAAATAAAAAGCCTAGTCACTTGAAACTTAGCTTAGAAAATCTTAGGAAGACTAATAAGAATTCGAAAGAGACAGATTAGTAATTATCGAATCCTATGAAAAGAAGATTCACGACTTGAAAGTTCAAGTTCAAGACACTTAATCTTAACTAGCCGATGCAAATGCTATGAACTAGTAATTGCTAAACCAGGTGTCTCAACTAAAGGAGTAAAATACTCTAAGCACAATGGATTCAGCACAAGCTGATGAGGATAAAACACTTGTAAAATTAAGAAACAATGATGAATTCAAGATCGAACTCTCAGACACTAATTACTATTATAGAGATTTATACGAAAAGTTGCTTTTATCAATGAAGGTGTTAGCTGATGAGAACGAAGCTGCTAAGAAAAGTAATTAATAACTAGAAAGCTAGTTGATAAGAAGTAAAGAATAGATGTCAATGCTGGTAAATGAACTTTACTCTCTCGAAAAGGAAAATATTTATGATAGAGATTGATCTGATAATAATTGAATTACTATGATAAGACATTATTTTAATGGTTAGAAACTAGACATCAGCACAAATTAAGAATATATGAAGTGGATCTACTATCTTCATGAAGTTAAATATATTTGTGTTTATTTTATCATATTATTGCTAAATAGCAAATGAAGAGAGTGTGGGGTTTTGGGGTTTTGGGGAGATCGGAAGAGC